TTCTTCGCATCGGCTATGACTCACGCGGACAAAGATTTGAGTCGTGTCAAGCCAACCCACGCAAGAATGGATGAGGGATACAGGCTCCCCGACCCTGGATTATTTGTCAACGTCCTTTCCTCGCAGTCTCTGAAGAAATATCTCGCTAACTGGTTGGCATGCCGTGAGTCGTGGCTGAGGCATGTTTATATGTCGCCTCCATCTCCGCTCCCTCGGTCCCAAAGCTGGCGTGATCTATTGATCACGCAGCCAACAACACCACAGCCCTCATCGTCAAGTGGTCAGATGCCATCAGGCAAGACTGGCAAGTCCAAAGCCAAACTCGACCTGTTCTTTGGAGATGAATTATCGCTCCTATGCCAGTTTGGACTGGATCCCAGATGTTGCAATGGAGGGGTCAGAAAATCGAAGCAGCGACGCTCGAGAATCCGCCGCATCGTCTCATTCAACAGATCATATACGAGATTTGCAAGCAAAGCTTCCGATACGACCTTCTGGAACTCGATGAACATCTTGCCGGTCATATGCGGCTGGATCGGGAGGCGAAGAAGCGTCGCATGGAGTTGCTCCGTGGAATTTTTCCCCAGCATGCCCTCAGCATGTGGGATAAGGATTTTTTCGACTCGGAATGATGGACTTAATGCTGAGTCTTTCCAGGATGCTCTTCCATATTTCGAGAATTTTCATCAAGTGTTGATCGCATGGGACGGTGCTCCTCAAGATCTCAAACAGCCTTTCACCGAGTCGATGCCCGAGGGAGAGAAGTGGCAACGCATGAAGCAATGTGCCCTGTTTTATGTACAATCATTTTACGACAACACAGGTCGCCCCCCCGTGGTCCCTCATATACTTTACGCGGGTCCATAGACGATTTACACTCGCTTCTGTTCGCTTCTGTATTTGTTCGTTGATGTGAGTTGCTATGCAGCGTGGTTCTTTCATGTACAATTTCTGTTGGTGAATTCTATTGACTTGTTGCTCCGGTGCTATTCACTGTTTGTTGATCACTGGCGTTCATGACCATTATCCTCCTCCCAGGCTAGTATCTACTAATTTTTGCTACATAGGTCATACGAAACTGGGACTTCGTGTTCCTCTGTGCTTGTTGACTGACTTCGAGTCAGTCACAATATTCTTGCAGGCTTTGTGCCTATCAGAAACATCTACCATGGATGGAGGACCACATCCACGGAATATCGCCTCGACGTCTACTCCTGCAACTCCTGTCCGTCGTCATTCGCAGCAAATATTAATCACACCGTCCATGGTCAAGAAGCGCCGGAAACCACGAGGAAGCAACGCATTTCATCTTCCAGGTCCTCCTCCAGTTCTAGTACTTCCGGGTAGGCGGTATTTCGCCCAACAAACTGCTTCCAATTCCAATCCTCGCTTGATGTCCCACCTCCTGATCCGAATGACCAGGACAGGCCTTCGTTTTATGACGATGTCCACTTCTTTTCCGATCCCTCCGCTCCTCGATCCCTCCGCTCCAATGGGCGGCAGAAAAAATTCATCAGTGGCAACGCTGGTCAAACGAAGTGATTCCTTCGCTAATCGGTCCATACCTCACATATCAATACAAATCTTCTTCGCTCCGTCATCGGCCTGCACTTCAAAATGATCCTGTCGAGTGTACGGCTTCATGCCACAGGAGGACTTTAGAAGTGACTTGTGTTTTTTTTCAATTGTACGAACTCACCATATTGTTATGTGGCTCGAATTGACCGTAGTCCAGATTTAGAGGTTTTGAACATTGACTGCTGCCCCTGCGCACCCGCACCCCTTCAACTTCTTAAGTTGGGGCTATTTGCATGTGCAACCCATAGCTCCATCTCTTGCTGTTGACCTACGTGTACTAGAGCTCGTTAGGACTCTTTTTGTACGGATCACCCCCAATACAACAGCCTGGTGTGAAGCATTGGAAGTTTTTCTAACAGCTCGGGGTTACAAACTTTCTACCAAGGTCTGCCTGCACGATTCTTTTTTGAAGTAAGCTAACTCTGGCATCTTCAGGACAATCTTCGCCGCCGCTTCAGTAACGCGTATCATTGGTACTCAGTCCTTGTGATGAATGCTGGAGACCACGTATACAGCCTCATTTCACAACATCTTCCTTCGCGTTCTTTGGGGGACGAAGTCTTGCCCGCACAACCAAGCGATTATCTCCGTTCATGTTGTCCAGTTTGTTTTGGAATGCAGGATTGGCAAAAGGATCACGGTTCGCGTCTCAAGTATGTCGATCCTACCGTGTTTTCCCCTGTGCTGATGTTTTTGCAGGCTAGATTGCCATGTATGCATCGATGCATGCTTCACACAGAAACGGTCAGCCAATTCACGTGGGGCCGATGGCCTAGATCCGCCAAACCCAACACGATCAGTTTTCATTTCGGACGAAGAGGTCGCACGGATGGAAGCTCACGTACTTGCCTGTCGAGGCTCCCTACCTGGTCGTGGAACAAAACGCAAGAAGCCGGAAGGCGACGAAGACGGGTACGAAGATGGTATGCGCATCCCTGTATCGACATTGGATGCCTGCAGGGAATCTTTTCTTGCTGCCGACGAAAAACGAGAGAAAGCTAGCACCCGTTTCTTCGCCGATACAGGAATCATGGCCTTACTTTGTCGTCATGATTGTGTCTTATGGTTGGTCAATATGACATCAGCAGGTGAAAAACAATATTATGCGCTTGCACTTATTAAAAAGCTCTTCGAACATCTTCCGCCAACCATGACCGTTGGTATCTTGTATGATATTGCATGTCAGCTCGAGCGTAGTTGTCTTAAATACCAACTTCTCGAGCAAGGTATTCTCTCACGTATCGTCTTTTCTATATCCGTATTTCACGCGTACAGACATCAGTGGCCTTGTCAGCTTATTTATCACCCTCGCAAATGTGAAGGGTTTGGACTTTCTGACGGAGAGGGCTGTGAGCGCCTGTGGAGCACTCTCAAGATGTTGATCCCCCCCTTGCGGGTCTCTGGGGTAAGTATCTTAATTCGTATACCTTGACTGACTAACATTAAGATAGTACCACCAACGGCTTTTTGTGCTGAATGCGCAAGTTCGGCATCTTGACGGCAAAAATCTCGATACATTTGGCGAGTGGCTGAGTCGCAGATGGACTCGTTGCCAGACAAAGAAGAGCAGTGCAGAACATGCGCTTCGACAACTCTCTGTAGATGAAGCTAATATACGCCCGGAATGGAGGGCTCAGGTCGAGCACCAAACGAAACCATTATCCAGTGCGTGCTTTATTTTATATTTTCATATTTCCCTAACATTAATAGAAAGGGAGATCAAAACCAACAATGACGAGCAAATATCGAAGATTTTGACCCTCGAGCGAACACTCAGTAACCTGGACGATTCCGTTCGTGCTCTTGAGATGCAGCTCTGTGCTGGCAACACTCTTAACAATGTTGACTTCAACCTTCGACTTGCAGACGAACGCACCCACCGGTCCAAAGTTGCTGATACTCTGCGACGATGGAAGGCATCCCTTGGCATCGGGCAACTTAACGATCTTCAACAACTCCGACGTAGTATATTCCTTCAAATTCGTCTTGATGCGCAAGCTGTCAAGGCACGCCTTCGTGAACGTCTGCGCCAGCGCAAATTTGAAATTGAGAGGTTTGAATGGTCATACCGTCAGACAGTAAATGGTATGTAGCTCGTTTCAATATGTTGACATGTCCGTGATTATCTTTGATCTAGAGCACAAGCTTCATGTGCATGCAGAAGCTTCAATTCAACGGCGCAACCCTACCATACGAAAGCTCGTCACAACTAACAACAACCTCTGTGGTAAACTAATTGACTTAATTCGACGAGGCGAGGCTCCTGCCGGTGCGATAGCGCCTCATTCTATCTCTCCGACTGGTATCTTTCAGCTTGACGTAGATGATGACATCTGGCAAGATGTTGGACTTGATGGCAATGACATGGCCCCACCTGCCTGGCTAGCGGATGAAAATATGTGCGCAGCAATTAAGTTTCAACTTGAGGTAGACCGGTGCAATGAGGAAAGGGCTCGTATCATGCGAGAACGTTGTGTTCTCCAGGAGTGGATGATGGCTGAGTGGGATGCCTTGCAGGAGGCTCGCACTCGTGCAGGTAAGTTTGTACAACATTCTACTGCCATGACACTGATAGTATATTTAGAAGAAAATGAAGATCTCTGCTTTCATTTCGACCTCTGTGCTCGCTTGTTGAGTGGTCTTGTTGTGCATTGGCAATCTCGAGTTCGTCCTATCCCTTGTGCTTGGCCATTGCCTGACTCATGGGGCCCCACCCCGAATGACCTTGCTGAGGCTGCTAATATGTATTATCAACCAAGCTGTCTTGATGGCACAGCTGCTGTGTATGATTCTGAGAATGACTGGGAGTCTGATGAGGAGAGGGAGAATGATGAATTGATAGATGAATTGGAGGAAGCTGCATTGGCTGGAGCATATATAGATCTTGACTCGGATTCATATGATATATAGTCTTTTGTAGCAATATCCGAAACTCTTGAGTGATTGCTATTAGACAATATTTGGAAAGTGCAAATATATCATGGGCTATCCCATCTTAGAATTCAAAGATGGTGGGGCATCCCAGACATGGGCTATCTCATCATGGGTAGGAGAGTGCTGGGCCAGCCCAGTGACCATATAAACCAGCGGTGGGCTATCCCGCATCATGCGTAGGAGAGTGCCGGGCCAGCACAGTGACCATATAAACCAGCGGTGGGCTATCCCGCATCATGCGTAGGAGAGTGCCGGGCCAGTCCAGTGACCATATAAACCAGCGGTGGGCTATCCCACATCATGCGTAGAAGAGGTGCCGGGCCGGCCCAGTCACCATATAAACCAGCGGTGGGCTATCCCGCATCATGCATAGGAGAGAGCCAGGTCAGCCCAGTCACCATATAAACCAGCGGTGGGCTAGCCCACATCATGCGTAGGAGAGAGCTGGGTCGGCCCAGTCACCATATAAACCAGCGGTGGGCTATCCCGCATCATGCGTAGGAGAGAGCCAGGTCGGCCCAGTCACCATATAAACCAGCGGTGGGCTAGCCCACATCATGCGTAGGAGAGAGCCGGGTCAGCCCAATCACCATATAAACCAGCAGTGGGCTATCCCGCATCATGCGTAGAAGAGGTGCCGGGCCGGCCCAGTCACCATATAAACCAGCGGTGGGCTATCCCGCATCATGCGTAGGAGAGAGCCAGGTCACCCCAGTCACCATATAAACCAGCGGTGGGCTAGCCCACATCATGCGTAGGAGAGAGCTGGGTCGGCCCAGTCACCATATAAACCAGTGGTGGGCTATCCCGCATCATGCGTAGAAGAGGTGCCGGGCCGGCCCAGTCACCATATAAACCAGCGGTGGGCTAGCCCGCATCATGCATAGGAGAGTGCTGGGTCAGCCCAGTCACCATATCGGTGGGCTAGCCCGCATCATGCATAGGAGAGAGCCAGGTCAGCCCAGTCACCATATAAAACAGTGGTGGGCTATCCTGCATTGACCAGTCACTGCCTTTTTCTTTCCGCTTTTATGCTTACATCCACAGTAATATGTGATGACACTTACTCCAATAAAACCTGGAGTATTGTGGTGCAGAGTATGTTCCAATTGTGCAAATTAACCAGATGGAGTGTAAATATGTCAGTATCTGGAGTGAGGGCACAGTCAAGAAAGATTTCTAGGTCAAAGACAACCCCCCTGTCTACCACAAATTTATTCCCGCCTCCTCCAGCTGCTTTGAATTTTGTAGGTCAAGAACCTTACCCAACTTACATTCTTCCCTCATCTTCAAAGACAACCCCCCTGTCTACCACAAATTTCTTCCTGCCTCCTCCAGCTGCTTTGGATTTTGTAGGTCAAGAACCTTACCCAACTTACATTCTTCCACATCTTCAAAGACAAGCCGCCCCCCCCCCCCTCGCCACATATTTCTTTTCACTTCCTCCATTCGTAGGTCAAGGACCTTATGAAGACAAACATTATACTCTAAGTGTCTAAATGTGTGGGTAATTTTTCATGAGAAATGACCCCTGACACCCCCTGTGTATTCATATAATAAAGTATCTAGGATGACCCAGATGGGTCATGGGACAGATCAAATACATTGGCCCAGCAGGCCCAGGCTTCGTGGGGAAAGTGTTGAATTGGCCCGGGATATAACCTGCATTGGCTGGGAATACCGCCTAAGATCATGCCTCTTAGGTGAGATTGTAAGCCAGAATATATGTACCTAAGAGGTACTTTAACAGGGGTGACTGAAGTGTAATATAAGCAGTCATCAATTAAGGTACAACAAGGATACATGAATAAACGAAAAGATCACCTGGGTACACTCATGTTCCATTCATGAAATAGCAAGCTTACAACTTCACGCGCTCCGGCATTTGGATACATCGGACGTAAATGAGTCATAGCGTCATGGATAGTCTCAATGTTATGATTTTGCTGGCGCATTCTTCAAAGACCCATGCCTTCATGAATCTTGAGAAATTTTGTAAGCCTAAGCACGTCGTCAGAATATAGTTGTAATTGAAAGAAGATTATCAACTCACCCGAGACCATAGCGTGATGTATCGAAATGTTTTTGCAATTCCGTGACAATTTGCCTATCGGTCTGGCGTGCCTTCCAAAGGCGAAGGATGTGTGGCTCAATTACGTCCAATGGTGCTAATTGGATGCGAATTAGGGGGTGTCAATTCAAAACAAGAGCAGAGCAGACGTACGCGTAGGTTTCCATTGGTTAGGCATTGTGCAAGGTAGTACTAGTGATGGTGTAGCTACTGGTAGCTTCAGTGAGATGCATTCGCAGTATTTAATACTCAGAGATATGAGTCGCACTGCCCACCTTAAAACGTACTGTGCCATAAACTTCGGAGAGCATCGGAGACACGAGCCGCAGTGCTGCCGCACTACCTAGGACCATGTCTTGGCATCAGACCACTATGAAAGCGCTCTGCCCACTTTCAGTAGTCCGAGGACATTGTGACTGCTCAACTCACCGCAAAACCACCAGTGGACGACATTCTGGGGGTTGTAAGGTCGTATATAGAATGGGACCTCTTCAATTGGTATGTTCTAGTACTATATACAATGCATACACTACTGATCATCGCTCCGCAGTGCAACTCTCTGCACATCGTCATTGGTATCGTAAAATTGTATATACAGTGTACTACAACTGATCTCTCTGCAGTTCTCTGCAGCGCAACTTCCACTTCCAGTATGGCTGGCGTTGGCAGTGGCACAAACAAGGCGTTAACGCGTCTCCAAACACCAATAGTGCCAGTACCGACGGGGAAGTGGGTTCCAACACATCTTTGTCTAATGCATCTCCAAACACCAATAGTGCTACCATTTTCTGGAGTCGACAGTACCGACAGGGAAGTGGGTTCCAACACATCTTCATCTAACACGTCTCCAAACACCAATAGTGCCAGTACCGACGGGGAAGTGGGTTCCAACACATCTTCGTCTAACGCATCTCCAAACACCAATAGTGCTAGCAATGTTTCCAACACATCTTCGTCTAACGCATCTCCAAACACCAATAGTGCTAACAATGTTTCCAACACATCTTCGTCTAACGCATCTCCAAACACCAATAGCGCACCTCCATCTAACGCGACTCCAAACACCAATAGTGCTAGCAATGTTTCTAATAAGTACATACAATGTACTGTAACTGATCTCTCTGCAGCTCTCTGCAGCGCAACTTCCGGTGAACATTGTTCTGGATCTTTGGTATGTTTCAATATGCATATTCAATGCACATAAATGACAACTGATCTCTCTGCAGCGCCACTCTCTGCACATTGTTATTGGTCTTGCTCCTTTGGTTTGTTTTCTCATGCATATACATAGCTAAATTATTAACTTGGTTTTTGTCATATTTAAGGCATGCAGCGACACACTCACACTGGCCAGCGCACTCGGACTCGCACTCACTCAGACCACTCTAGTTCATATGGCGAACCCGAACAGCATTGTCTGTCAATTTATGGAAGATGCCCTTGCCGCCAAAGACCGAATCTGTGAATGCCCGAGTTGTCGTGCCCAGATCGCAAAAGGCCAGCCTTGTTTTTACGTGGCTACAATGCAACCTGGCAGATCTGGGCGCAATGTATGTGCACCATGCTATGCACGATATGAAATGAGGTCCGTAACATCTCAGAAACCCACCAGTGAGTCGATAACGATTTTCTCGATGTTATTTACTGACATATTTGTATTAGCATCACAGCCTGCCTTACGACAACATCTGTCGTCCACCCCAGCAAGTCAGCGATGGCCTGATCCTAAGGTCATTCGGCAGTCAGTGAATGCTTCCCAACGGAAATGTAAGTTGTTCCAATCTTTGATAGGACGCGAGCTGATTCTAACCATGACTGACAGCGAGTGTCAATCCGCCTCGTGTGGTGGCAATCCCTGACTGGACCAATACCTCTATGGGCCCACCGCCTGTCCCTCTGCCTCGCGACCGTACAACTGGTCCTGATGTAGCTGTTCCCATGTCTTGGCAGGGGCTGGCGGCATCACCAATACCATCGAGGCTCACGGGTCCCATTGGATATTCAGCCCACCACGGATCGTATTCGACTGAATACCAGAGATGGTCCAAACTCTCATATGCTACTCCTGGTGGCGCAATGGCTGAAACCATTTCGCTAGAGATCTCGGCCATTCATGAAGCGGGCGGGCACAAGAAATCAAGAGGTACATTAATCGGGGTATGACCTTTCCTATGTTCACTTTCATGCCCGGCTAAACTGGCATATTTTATTTAGAATATCTGCGAGGGCAAGAAGGATATTGACGCCCAAATTGATGCCCCGGGCCTCATAAACTTGGCTATGGAGACGGTTCTGCCCAAGCTACATGCATTTGGCGGGACCTTTTCGTGGCGCGAGCATGAATTCATCGTGCGAGACTTGAAATGGGTTGATCTCGCGACACACCCGCCATCAATTCCCTATTTCTACTCACAGTGTCTTCAGCCCACCCGTAAAGGTCCTGGCAAAGGCCCCAATATTCAAGATGAAACAATTCGGCCTTATGGTAGTTGTGCCAAAGATTCAATGGACCGATTTCGAAGACTGGCAAGAAGCGAATGAAATGGTATGTTTATTTGTTGTATGATTGTTACCTACACTAACTTACACTTAATTGTACAGGCGATCGAACGCTCAAGTCGTCAGGCTAAGGGCAAGGGCAAGGCAGACCCGCTGTTTTTTGCCGACTCGGCAGAATCACTGGCATACACATACTCAACTGACCCACCGTTCGACCCAACTGACTTCAACTCAGCTGACCCACCGTTTGACTCTCAGACAGCGCCAAACCACCAATTCGACTCAGTTGACCCACCGTTCGACTCTGAGTCAGCACTGAAGATATCATCTGCTGCCACCCCAGTACCAGCGCTGAGCACGTCATCTACTGCTGCCACAGTCCCTGCACCAGTTACCACAACTACCAAGCGAACTCATGAGCGTGCGATAAGTATCACCTCTTCACCTTCACCTCCTCGCAAGCATAATCTCGTAATCCCCCTGCCTGTTCTCTGCTCTCCTGATCGCGACGACCTGAGGATAGCCTTGAAGATTGGAGGAGGTGCGGATTTAGATATGCAGCAGGGTATGTCATTTTTTGCCGATGTATGTGTTCAGCACGCTCACCTAGATGTAAGTGTCTAAGTTCCAGACCGAAAACATTCATTTTTACTCAATCCCCACCTGACAACTCAACGACCTCTTGAAGTGTACCCGGTACCATTCGTTTTCTGTGGATAACGCTGATTTGTCAGTGGGCTATGTGACCGTCGATACATCCCCTGAGGGTTCACATCGGCATAGGTGGATTCAAGACTGCGCATACAGGATGGTTGACATTGATGTCGCCTCCTACCTCAGGTCTTGGGTCCAGGGCACGGCATGACATTGTTGTGAAACGTCCATTCGAGAAGGTATATCCCAAAGGCACGCCAGCCAGTTTGGATTTCAAAATTGGACGATTTGCACCCAAGGACTGAGTCGGCCAAGTTATTTAGGGAAGCAAACATCCTATACTGGGCAAAAGCTCTGTTAGGTCTCGTCTACGATGTCATTGACCGTGCTGTGGCAGGGGCATCTGAGCCTGTACCATTCAATATTCCCCGTGTGCGCTTTGTCGAAGCTGGTCTGGCGCTATCTTACTATCAAGATAGTAGCAAGCCTGCATTAAAGGTTGCATCAGCGCGTGCATGTTTTCTCCTCGAGGAAGTTATCAACGGCAGAGACGACGAATTTTGTCAAGTATATTCATAACATGGACCCCAACCCATTACTTGATCCAGATGAACCTGGATATGACTTTGCATTGTTCCTTGCCTTCACACAACATGTACAGTATGTGAAGACAGGTGGGCTGGTCTTCATCTCTGATTATCAAGGTATGTACTTTACCTTGTTACATTACGCATCGGCGATTCTGACTGTCGGAATCAAACAGGCAATACCGAGCTGTTGACCGACCCACAGATTATGACACACCCTTCGGTTAGTGACAAGAAAGACATCTTTGGGGGGGGGCAACATCGAGAAGGCGGTCAGTGAATTTGAGACTCGCCACAGTTTGCAACCACTTCTGCAAATGGCCAGGGTTTGAACTTGAAGAGTTTGGGGGCAAGGTAGCTTAGATGACGCTAGTTTTCGTTTAGCATATGTTTTGGGGTGGTGTTACAATGTATTACAGCTTTGGGTTTTCATCCTTATACACTCGACCTAGATTCAAACACACAAGTAGGTTTCACTGATCAACACAGACAAATACGCCAGGACTGGTGCTCGAAGGTCCGATTACTATATGTGGCCATTTTTTCTTAAAATTTGAGCACGAGTGTCCGGCTTTCCATAGTTTTGGTCTGTTGTGCAAAGGCTTGAAGGAGTTTCCTTATTCGAAAATTGCTGATTAGGTCATCTATGACGGAGTCAGCCCCGGCCACCTGAATTCGGGATTTATCAATGTGTATGGTTGTAATGATTTTCTCCCCTCTGACGTCGTTTTGTTGTGCTGCGTCACGGCGCACTGCTGTTTTACAAGGATGGTAGTAAAATAAGATTCAAGATTCATAGGCAAACGGTCGCAGCATGTCGGGGAAGACACAAATCATAAATGCAAGGCAATATGTCGTATATTTCATCCATAACAAATGTGATTCAAAGCTCCAAGCTCCATGGCGAGATACATTATAGCTACTACCAACTTATATCTATAAAATTCAACAGCCATATGTAACTTAATAAACCGAGCGCCACGGTGGGATACAATAGCCATGTCCAGCGTGCAATCATAGTGAAGATAAGCATACAGAAGATGCACTAAGCAAGAACGAAGGGAGGAAAACAAGTTGGAAGATAGCCCTCCAAACGACTTGGGGGAGAGTCACGGTGCAGAAGACGAGGGTGCAAAGATTTTCAGGAGTTTCCTTATCCAGACACTTCCCCGCACTTTGCCTCAAGACTTTGGCTCGGATAGGCTCGAGGCCACCTACTTCACTCTTGACATGCACCAGTGTCTTCGCGTAACTGAGATCTTGGAAGCGATATTTTATTTTGTGTTCAACCATAATGCATAAAGGACGACGTTTCAACTCGCACTTATTGCCTGATCTTATACCATCACCGGAAACTCAAGATCGACGCTCCATCTTCCGACTTGCACTTACCTGCCCTGCATTCGAGATTTAGCACTCGATATTCTTTATTCTAATCTGAGAAACTCTGGCCTCTCATTCTCTCATGCAGACCTTCCCAGTTCCGTCACACACCTGAGCTATTCCGTCCATTGATCCTCGCTTCCCGCATCCAGATTCTCTCCCAACTATGTCAAGATAACACTGCATACCCTTCCCTCCGTGCATGTGCAAAAAAAAAATCACCCCTCTTTCCAAAACTGCGATCCATCGCATGGCGCGATTGTTCTCTCACATGTATCCCAGTTCTCAAACTCCTCTTACCTACAGTTGAGATCCTCTCCCTCGATCTCTCATCTTCATTTCGCAAAGCCATCATCCCTATACTCCCTACCTCCGCTCCCCGTCTCAAAGCTCTTGAGCTCAAGGGCAGCCTCTTCATGACCGATAAAAATCCCTCAGAAATTGAGTCCCTCCTCACGAATTATCCCGATTGTCTCGCAGAGCTTTCTTTGACATGTCACTGGCATGATGTCCCGAGCACTGTGCTCAACGTCATTGCACCATGGCCATCTCTCCGGTCTCTCACCTTAAAGCTAGGTCTCGAAAGTATCCCTACCGCACCTCTTCGCATCCCCAAGCCCTTTGCCGCACTCACCCACTTGCACATCTCATCTGATGACACTTTGGACCTTTTTATATCCTTCCTGCGCACCTTCCGAATCCTCAATTTTGATTCTTCCAATACCACATCACTCAACCTCAAAACAATCCAATTCATCGCAGAAGGTTGCAGCCCAGCCAACACCTGGTCCCAATTACTCACATCTCTCACCCACACAAACGCAAAACTAGAACACATCATGCTAACCGAAAAATCCAGCTATGAATACCACCCACACTCCTCTTTTGACTTTCGTCTCCTACTCGCGCACCAGAGTCTCACGCGTCTCAATACCCTCGTACTCTCCCCAGGCCGTACATCATCCATTACACTCACAGACGCAGACATTCTCACCCTCGCTCGTACATGCCCTCATCTCCACGTTTTTGACTTGGGGTTGCGGAATACCCCAGTATCATTGCATGCTTTGAATATCCTTGTCAGGCGCTGTCGCGAGTTGCGCCAAGTCTCGTTCTGTGTGGATGGACGGGTTGATGCACTCGGGGATGGTGAAAACGAAGACGAAGTAGGTCTCCAGCCTAATGCGCGCTTGATAACACTGGAAGTCGGGAACTCTCCTGTCGCGTACGTGGGCCCTCTGCGCTCATCGCCAGAGCTGAAGGAGTCCATCCCGCGGTTCCTGCATGCGATGGCGCCGAGGCTTAAGAGCGTCACGGATGGGCTGCGGTCCCATGGAACACGTGAGAATCCATGGGAGGTGGTGTCATACGCTTTGTGGATGATGGTGACAGACGAAGAAGACGACTGATGGTGTTTCTCGAGGGATATGCGGCGAGATCAATCGCGAGAGGGTTCAACTAACGCTTTTGGAGTACAGGTGTATTAACATTTCATTGTAACTTTACAAGAGAACAACGATTTGGAAAACTGTATCAGGTAGGATGACATACGTGACAAGAAGAAATGATACTGGCCTTGAGTGACACTGGCATATGCGACTACTTATGCATATGTTTGAGTGGCATCCCCTCCGAGTTCCATCATACACATCATCGATCGCTATGATCTTGCTGTACTAACTCAAAACACCTCATCAGCATCATTCTCAATTCTCACCCTCTCCTTGTCGCACCCACCCAACGAGAATACATATCATCAACGTCGTCGATCCTTTCTATGCAACCATCACCCTTTCACCCAGCGGCCAAGCTCCTTGTCGTGGCCTTGTAAGTTCAACAGTATAAAGTACGTCCTTCTCTATCTCATTTGTTAACTTAATCCAGATGGGTGTCCTACTACAAGCATGGCCATCATTCTCGCAGGAGAATTACTCAAGAAATCAGAGAACCTTCTCGTGATGGGCCTCCACCCTGACGAAGTCCGAACCAGGGGATACAGATTCGCATGCGCCAAAGCCCTCGGTGAACTCAAAAGTGAGTTGCTTCCTCGTTCTATTTACGTTTTCTTAAGAAGCGGCACGGATCTATCGACATCTAGTCTTTCACACAGGAACAGCTCTCAAACCCGTTTCACTCGCGTCGAGGAACAACAACTTGAAAGAATATGCTATGAAACTCGATTGTAGTCATTAGATTCTTCCTGCTGAGTCTCCAGAAACCGACTATCGAAGAGCTCCTTGACGAGGACGCCCGTTGTGATACCCTGGTGCACCTGCGTCCAATATCACCCTCAATTCAATGTCCTCTATCATGCGGAACTTCTAGTCTTCATATTGCCTTAATATCATCACCCATTCGCTTGCTATTGCCCAGTGCCTTTGTTCCTCCAGCTGTTTTTTCATACCTCACAGCCCACAACATCCTTACACGCATCGTTTTCATGTTGCTCTCGTTCTCACCGCCTTTGTCGTAGATATCGCGATTGTACTGTATAGCAATGAACTACATATTTCGTCCCATCCTATTTTTAGCGCCCTTTGAATGTACTCGGTGCAACGGGAACTTGAACGACCACAGAAGACCACAACAACGATGTCCTTCTGTTGAGCTTCTCAGTCTGCCATGAGGAAGTACCAACGCTATGCACTTCAACACGATACACAGCGCACACGCAACCGCGTCTCTGACATTGAAACCAGCATGCCTTGTCCGAAAAAGCACCGATCTTCTGCATCACTTTGACGTAATCCACGGCGCACTCACAACCGCATTATTATGGAATCGGTATGCCTTGTCCGTCGTCATGTGCTCTCACAAACCAGCACTAACGTCGTGAGTGCCATACCGTTAGCTCACGTCGTTCACATGGACAATCCTAAATTCGCTGGGTATGGGATAGAACACAAAGTATGATCCACGATACACTCGTTCACGTCTGATTGTATGCGAAAAATCCATAACAGATCCATTGCTGCAGGTATCGTTGGTATTAAGATCTGCAAATATTGATTTTAGTAAGTATGAATAACAGAAAGGGCATTGAGGAGACTCACTCCTCTCGGCACTCTTTCCAGTGTTGTCCATGTGTCATGCGGCTCAAATCAAGCTCGGGACATCTGGGTATCACTAATAAAGTTCCCGGGCTCCAAAATGAATGTCGAGAAGCGGGTGGTACCCAAAATAACAGTTGATGTTTGGGTCCTACGACCCATCCACTGTCAACATTCAGGAAAAAGGGGGTCGAACTGCGGTCGTCATGGGATGCTCCCTCCGTTAATTCAGAAGTGTTGCACAACGCATGGATGGAGTAGGGCGAGAAGCAAATGAAGTGATTGTTCAATGTAATGGAAGTGGTGGACTCCATGGGATGCGTGACACGATGTTCATCTGATAATGCTGAAGGATTTGACATAGCGCAATATTGCGACGGCTGGTTCATCACTGCATCCCACAGCCGAACAGTGTTATCGTCCGAACCAGTGACGATGCGAGTGCCGTCCGGCGAGAACGAGACTGAATTTACTGGACGAGTGTGCCCCCGCAAGGGCTTACCGACTGGCTCCCCTGTCGCTGCATCCCACAGCCGAACAGTCTTATCCCAAGAACCAGTGATGATGCGAGTGCCATCCGGCGAGAACGAGACCGACAAAACTATATCAGTGTGCCCCCGCAAGGACTCACCGACTGGCTCCCCCGTCCCTGCATCCCACAGCTGAACAGTCGCATCTTGCGAACCAGTGACGATGCGAGTGCCGTCCGGCGAGAACGAAACCGACCTTACTGAATCAGTGTGCCGCAAGGGCTCACCGACTGGCTCCCCCGTCCCTGCATCCCACAGCCGAATAGAATTATCCGAAGAACCAGTGACGATGCGAGTGCCATCCGGCGAGAACGAGACCGACCAAACTGAATCAGTGTGCCCCCACAAGGGTTCACCGACTGGCTCCCCCGTCCCTGCATCCCACAGCCAAACAGTGCCATCCCAAGAACCAGTGACGATGCGAGTGCCGTCCGGCGAGAACGAGACCGACACTACTGAATCAGTGTGCCCCCGCAGGGGTTCACCGACTGGCTCCCCCGTCCCTGCATCCCACAGCCGAACAGTCTTATCCGAAGAACCCGTGACGATGCGAGTGCCGTCCGGCGAGAACGACACCGACCAGACTGAATCAGTGTGCCCCCGCAAGGGCTTACCGACCGGCTCCCCCGTCCCTGCATCCCACAGCTGAACAGTCGCATCTTGCGAACCAGTGACGATGCGAGTGCCGTCCGGCGAGAACGAAACCGACCTTACTGAAGAAGTGCACCCACGCAAGGGTTCACCGACTGGCTCCCCCGTCCCTGCATCCCACAGCCGAACAGTGCTATCCAAAGAACCAGTGACGATGCGAGTGCCGTCCGGCGAGAACGAGACCGACACTACAAAAGAAGTGTGCCCCCGCAAGGGCTCTCCGACTGGCTCCCCCGTCCCTGCATCCCACAGCCGAACAGTGTTATCGTGCGAACCAGTGACGATGCGAGTGCCGTCCGGCGAGAACGAGACCGACGAAACTGAATCAGTGTGCCGCAAGGGCTCACCGACTGGCTCCCCCGTCCCTGCATCCCACAGCTGAACAGTGCTATCCCAAGAACCAGTGACAATACGAGTGCCGTCCGGCGAGAATGAAACCGACCTTACTGAATGAGTGTGCCCCCGCAAGGGCTCACCGACTGACTCCCCCGTCCCTGCATCCCACAGCCGAACAGTGTTATCGTGCGAACCAGTGACGATGCGAGTACCGTCCGGCGAGAACGAGACCGACCAAACTGAATGAGTGTGCCCCCACAAGGGCTCACCGACTGGCTTCCCCGTCCCTGCATCCCACAGCCAAACAGTCGTATCTCGCGAACCAGTGACGATGCGAGTGCCGTCCGGCGAGAACGAGACCGACAAAACTGAATGAGTGTGCCCCCACAAGGGCTCACCGACTGGCTCCCCCGTCCATGCATCCCACAGCCGAACAGTCTTATCCGAAGAACCAGTGACGATGCGAGTGCCATCCGGCGAGAACGAGACTGAGTTTACTGAATCAGTGTGCCCCCGCAAGGGCTCACCGACTGGCTCCCCCGTCCCTGCATCCCACAGCCGAACAGTGTTATCGTGCGAACCAGTGACGATGCGAGTACCGTCCGGCGAGAACGAGACCGACGCAACTGAAGAAGTGTGCCCCCTGAGCACGGTCAGAACAGCTGGCCAATGTATATCACGTCCAGATGCCACACGAAGAGTATTCGGAAACCGTGCAGAAAACTTTCTCGATAGCAGGGAGTTGGAAGGCGAGAATGGGAGTGCTGATACATACAGATGTGGCGTGCTGTGTAAAATCATGCCGGCCGAAGACTTGAATGAACCTCTGTACGTCCATTGCAGTCGACGAGACATCTTTGAATTTGGGATGGCCCTGTGGTTGCGCATGAGCGCTTTATCTAACACCCAGTAGCAGTGTGCTTACCTTCAGCCACTTGGCAATGGGCGGAAGGGCAGGAACTGCACCGCTGAGTGCATTGATCAAGGCGAGTAACTCGAGCCAGAAAAACAGCCGCTCGTTGTCGAAGAACAATTTCACTTCTTTCGCGAGCTCCTTGTCGAAGGATATGGTTCGTACGTGCGAAGTCCAAAATCGAGAGGAATATGACAAATGTTGGGGGATGCATTTTTGGACTCGTTCTTGCAGCCCGGGGTCTTCGCGATTAGGAAGATACGACGACTTTAAATCACAGATATTGAAGCGAAGACCGTGTTCCATCACTCGAAGTGACGCGAATGCAAGATCGTGTTGTGTCTTTGACAGGTCGATGAAAAATTCTTCATTGGATGCTTTGTCCGTCAAGAAATCGTGGAAGGATGCGTGAAGGGGTCGGATTGGGGAATCTGAGTTGGTGGTGCCGCTGAGGAGGGACCCCATGCTTTTTGCCACAAGCTCCACGTCGAAACGGTCCTCTTCCTTCGGAAAATGAGACCTCATGGCCTTCAGGGAAGCTAGAGGAAGGGGTTCGGCTGTCCCTAGTATTTGTCCCATCACTGAACGAAATCTCGCTAGCTTCGTCAAACGCTGATTCGGCGTATGCAGAGATGTATCCCCGTGCATGATATCTGTTAAAATGAGGCGATACATGTCGTACAACAGCGGGCTTCTCTCATCGGGATCGCGTGACACCACGGTCTTGTAGCAATCCTTTGCAGATAGCCCCACATGGGACTTCTTGATGTATCCGCAAGCGAGACGTGCCCACTCGAAAAGTCCATCAGCTTTCTCAGCGAGGACTGCAAACTCTCTGTCCTGAAAATCAAACCACTCCAACTCCTTGGATACGTAAGCATGAATGTCGCGCTTTGCGTCTGCTGGCGGAATATCATCCATCGACATCTGTCGAATATGCTGAACATCACGAAACTCGTCATTGATGTCATCAAGCGGGCGAGAGGTGACGATAAAGCGGAAGTTGCCTGGGAGGTCTGTGATTTTGGGAACGGCGGGGTTTTGATGTTTGCCGGCTAGAATGCGGAGGAGGTCTTTCCGTGTCTCTACTCCACCGCTTTCATCCAGTGCATCGATCACGATCACAATGGGTTCCCCAGTTGACCTAGATGACTTTCCCAGTGGTTCGATAAGAAGCTTCTGCCACTGCTGGATGATATCCGGCGTCTTCTTGAGCGAATTTGAGGTCTTAACTGCATCTGCTAATGCCCGCCTCATTTCTGGATCACGGTCAGCCAGGTCGCAAGCGATCGTGGAAAAAATCTTTTCATGGCGACGATCTGCTTCTCGCTGGCGGTCAAAACAGTAACACGAACCAAGCCCTCCCGCATTGTCGAACCAATTAGAAATCTGAGTGTGGGCGATGGCTGATTTGCCCTTGCCCGCAGGGCCAGATAGCCACAGCACGCGTGGAATGTTATCCCCAGTGCTGTTGACCCATTCCGTGATCTCAGAAAAGATTTTCCTGCGGGTTCCTTGAAGGCATTCTTTTCTAGTATCAAGTCCCGCGCCATCTGCGTAAGTCATACCGCTGAGGTACAATATATCTTCTGAAAAGGTATGAATATATGTCGAGTTACAAGGACATCTGAACCCTCACCCGTACGGTGGATGTGTGTGGCTACGTCGCGAGTGACTTGGTCCCGAAAGTTTTGCATGAGCATATCCAACGCGTTACTGTGCTGTTGGATCGTATCGTTCGTTTCCGAGACAACGTTCTTTCCAAGTCTCGTCCCTGTGATAACGCAAGAAACTTGAGACGGTGCAAAGCGCAACAGCTCGTTAACTCACAAAGGTTCTTGGTCTCCGAATAATTTGTGATGAATCGAGCACATTCAAGGGTCTGCTGAGAGATCTGTCGAAGGATAATACGCAACGACGAGATTTGGTCAAGCATCTCGTCTTGTGTTATGAAGCTGTAAACTTGACACAATTTCTTGAGAAGTTCGTGTACCGCTTTGTTGCGATCCACTTGCGCTAGAATAATCTGCACAAATGATTGCTGGGCGGTGGGAGGTAGGGAGAGAGAAAATGAAAACACACTTTGGCTGCAGAAGACAACATGCCCAGTGCGATCTTTGCATATGGATGTACCTGTGGAAGTAGATTAGTTCGGTTCTGATCCAAAGAAGGGTTCATACAGCTGTGATCTTCTCAATAACTTCCTCGAATATCCTGAGAGGTTTAAGATATGTGTCCTGGGAACTGTCAGCAGCATCGAGATTCGCTTGTGCGTGTTGGCCAACAGACGGCACAGTTATCGCAAGTTCAGAAAGTGGATGCATGCGTTTTGCAGCCTCTTGTGCATCCCGAAGTGCCTGGGTATCAGCCTCCACTTCCATACCAGCCTGATCCTGTGTGGTCACCGAGATTTAGAGAAAGCACAGAGACTAAAGGGCAAGTTTGAGGACCTACCTCGATATCTGGGATGAGCAGGGCTACGGGAATCCTTCGAGCGCTTGTTGGAATGTTAGTCGGATTGCAGGATCTCATTACGCGTGCTCGTGAACTCACCGAGATCCTTAACTTCTTTGCACTGTGGGTTTGTTGAGTTGAATCTGTCGAGCATTTGCGTTTGCTCAGTCGAATTCAAACGAAGTAAGATGAGGACCCACATCATTTATAATAAATAACGCCTCGATGCAATATTTGTACCAGTATTGTAAGGGCTAAGCAAGAAGCATTTGAATTTGAATTTGAATTTCGAAAATGTTCTTCTGATCGTCGAATGATGATTGACAAAAATAGCCTCGGCAGTGCACCCTTCGAGCGACTGCGTGGTTTCGCGATTTAGCACTCGATACTCTTTATTCTAATCTGAAAAACCTCTGTCATGTCGATCAGACCTGGATCCCAGTTTGATCATACATCCGTCCATTGATTCTCACTTCCTCAAGATAACACTGCATAGGGCCCCTCCCTCCGTGAATGGGCAGAAAAAATCACCCCTCTTTCCGAACCTACGATCCCTCGCATGGCGCGATTGTTCTTTCACATGTGTCCCAGTTCTCATATTCCTCCTACCCCCAGTTGAGACTCTCCCTAGATTTCTCATCTCCATTTCACAAAGCCATCATCCCTGCACTCCCTACCTCCGCTCCCCATCTCAAAGCTCTTGAGATCAAGGGCAGCCTCTTCATGACCGATAAAAATCCCTCAGAAATTGAGTTGCTCCTCATGAATTATCCCGATGGTCTCACAGAGCTTTCTTCGACGTGTCACTGGCATGATATCCTGAGCACCGTGCTCAACGTCATTGCACCCTGGCTATCTCTCCGATCTCTCACCTTAAAGCTAGGTCTCAAAGTATCCCTACCACACCTCTTCACATCCCCTAGCCCTTTGCCGCACTCACCCACTTGCACGTCTCATCCGATGACACTTTGAAAGTTTGGACCTTTTCATATCTTTCCTGCGCACCTTCCGAATCCTCAATTTTGATTTTTCCAACACCACATCCCTCAACCTCAAAACAATCCACTTCATGGCAGAAAGTTGCAGCCCAGCCAACACCTGGTCCCAATTCCTCACCTCTCACCCACACAAACGCAAAACTAGAACACATCATCCTAACCGAGAAATCCGGCTATGAACACCACCCACACTCTTCTTTTGACTTTCATCTCCTACTCGCGCACCAGAGTCTTACACGCCTCGATACTCTCGTACTATCCCCAGGCCGCACATCCTCCATTACACTCACCGACGCAGACATTCTCACCCTCGCACATACATGCCCCCAGCTCCACATTCTTGACTTGGGGTTGTGGAATACCCCCGTATCATTGCATGCTTTGAATATATTTGTCAGGCGCTGTCTTAAGTTGCGCCAAGTCTTGCTCTGCGTGGATGTGCGGGTCGATGCGCTCGGAGATGAAGGCAATGTAGGTCTCCGACCTAATGCGCGCTTGATGACACTGGAGGTCGGGAACCCTCCTGTCGCGTACGTGGGCCCTCTGCGCTCATCGCCAGAGCTGAAGGAGTCAATTCTGCAGTTCTTGCATGCGATGGCGCCGAGGCTTAAGAGCGTCACAGATGGGGCGTGGTCCTATGGAACACTCGAGAATCTATGGCAGGTGGTGTCGGACGCTTTGTGGACGATGGTAACAGAGGAAGAAGAGGACTGATGGTGTTTTTCGAGGGAGATCAATCCCGAGAGGGTTCGACTAATGCGTTTGGAATAAACGTGTATCAACATTTCGTTGTAATTTTACAAGAGAACGACGATTTGGAAAACTATCAGGTAGGATGATACACACGACAAGAAGAACTGATACTAGCTTTGAGTGACACTGGCGCTTATGCGTATGTTTGAGTAGCGGCTCGGTAGCCCTAGATAACTGTCCACGTTCGTTCGTATCATTTCGGACGTGCGTGACACAGTACAGCAATTCGACGTCAGGGGAGAAAACAATTGCAACAGGATCGGCTGTCATAGGTTGTCCTGCGTGCGTCTTCATTCTTGTTTCCTTCATTGTAACCCTTACAGTGATTATTGCAGACCCTGGATACTTCGGCATTACTGGGAGCAGATACGGAACAAGTGTAGATATGCGGGGTGAATCCGGCGATGACCCTAGCAATCACAATCAGCAACAGGGTCATGACTTCTACCTTTGAGTACAAGCCCTGTTACTTGTAAGAGATGAGAGGAACGAGGTGGATCACGGTGCGTCAAATTGACGGACACTAGACGGTATGGAAACTTGGTTTCGGACAGAAGGAGGGAACGCGCCTAAAGTCGGATGACTTCAGTCCCTGAAAGAGCAGAGACTCAACCTCGTGAATTTGAAGTCTGGAGGAACAAGTCTTTTGGGATAATCCTCAAGTTCGGGCGATTAGCTATCTTTGAAAGTCACCGAGTTGGACTCACTCACACTAGAAGCTGGTCACAGCTGGGAGTAGGAATATGTCACCGGCAAAATAAGGGATAACTTTAATGATTTGAACCCTGATGTACTACTAAGTGCGCAACCCGGCACCCAACTTGTGTTGCATAGAAAACATCGCGGATCAGGAATTATATCCAGTGAGGTTTCTTCTCGCTCTCACTTCCAACAGCTGACCCGCTACCGACCATCACACACCGTGAGTGCAAGTCCTCATAGGTGCGTTCTACTAACGGAGGTCTGAATAGCGAGGATGCACACAGCTGCACGATGAGCAGGATTCCCCCTAACAACGTGAATGATCGATGAGACTTTGCGGCCTGCATTGGATGTGGCAAAGCACAACTGGTGCGCTCAGCGCTGTGCGTGATAAACAAGCAAATAACGGCGCAGATGAGGGAGGTGGTTCTCTTATCATTTTCTGGAAGGAGAGATCAGGATAAATTCTTCAGCAATGACCGTCCGACTCGCTTTGTCCTTAGTTTGCGTACATTCTTCTCGCCTCCGAGTCCGACCCCATTAACATTTTTCGTTTGGTAGTGAATCCAAACAATAGTTTGGTCAGTCTGACAACGATCTAGGTTGGCAAGCACGCACCTTAGAGATATCTTATGCTTCTGAGACGACCCTCGTGAAGCGTGAAAGGTGAATTCATTTTCATAGACAGACTACCACATAAAAAGGAGGTTTCGGAGGAATGACTGGGCCTAGCTGAGATGGGCCTTCGAGGATCTATACACCGCAAAAATGTAGTGAGCAGGTTTCGAACCAACTTCAAAAGAAACAGATTTTGACTCTGTTATGGTAACCCCTTGACAAAGACCAGTCAGATAGGCTTGCGAGAAAACCATCCATGAGTGAATCTTCAAGGCGTGTTCCGATAGAAAAAAAACCTTTGTCGTTCGGCAGGTTTCGAACCTGCACTGATACAGTCCAAGAGACAGATTTAGATTCTGTTGTGGTAATCACTTTGGTCAGGACGAAGTTGAGATGAACCACCAAGGAACCTATCCATGAGCGAATCTTCGAGGCGTGTTTTGATAGAAAAAAGAACAATGATGTCGGCAGATTTCGAACCTGCGCAGTCCAAGAGAAAGAGATTTTGATTCTGTTCTGGTAACCACTCCGCTAAGATCAGGCCTGCGACGACATCACTTATGAGTGCTAGTGAATGTCAAGGTGTGATAAGAGGGAAGGTTCGGAATCCATTCTACATGCCAATTATGTCAACGTCCATGTACATACATGGCCTCCTCATACTGCGAATGAAGATAAGGACGTCACAGTTGTCTTCTATGCTCCGAAGTCCATTGATTGCTCGCAAGATAGAGTGGTGGAAAGCCATGCCACTCGACATGTCCGTGGAGTGAGGGAAGGACAGTACGCGGGGGAGTTGAGGCCGTTATATACTTCTTGGTGATGGCTGCAACACCAAGTTGAAGCGAAAATGTTGAGTACAGTCTGGAGTCTTCTCGTTGCGAATGACGTGAGGGTTTCCGGACTTTGTGTGCTCAGGTTAAAGCCGTTCGAAGGAACCGAGAAAGAACTTTATGTAAGAAGACCATGACGTCTTGGTGACGAAGCTTTTGGAATCGCCCATGTCATCTGCCTGCCATCACATTCCGCGGATTATTCAACGCGCAATTCGTCGATGTCCCCACTTGAAAACACATCGATTGCGTGAGTATCGCGATATCGATCCTGAAATTCTAAGTCGTTTCAGCATACCTCTACAAAACTTTTAAACTGGGCTTCTCTAACGTAGCAGCTGAAGTTGCCACTCGTATCATTTTCTGCATGTTCCCTTACGTCGATCAAGTTGGCCATGCGGACTCGGTAGGTGAACGCTAACCAGTACCTTGAAATTTCAATCTTCTGGCTGTCCTATGACACCGGAACTAGCCCCGCCGACCTGAATTGGGGATTATCTGACGATTGTACTGGAGTTGTAGTTGTTCAGTGGTTGCAACTGTTTTCTCCTCTCTGGTGCTCGAACGGCTGAATGATTTAGGTTTAAAGTATTACGCATGTCCTAGCTAGGTATTGATCACACGATCGAACGAACGGTTATAGTGTATCTATCTCCCTCGAAAAACACCATCAGTCCTCTTCTTCGTCTGTTACCATCGTCCACAGGGCGTCCGATACCACCTGCCATGGATTGTCATGCGTTCCACGGGACTGCACCCCATCCGTGACGCTCTTAAGCCTCGGCGCCATTGCATGCAGGAACCGCGGGATTGACTCCGTCAGCTCTAGCGATGAGCGCTGAGGGCCCTACGTACGCGACAGGCGAGTTTCCGACTTCCAGTTTTATCAGGCGTGGATTAGGTTGGAGTCTTACCTCGTCTTCGTCGTCTGCATTCTCACCATCTCTGCACGCATCGATCCACGTATCCACGCAGAGCGAGACTTGGCGCAGCTCGCGGCAGCGCCTGATAAGGGTATTCAAAGCATGCAATGATACAGGAGTATTCCGCAACCCCAAGTCGAGAATGTGGAGCTGGGGGCATGCACAAGCGAGCACGGAGATGTTGGCGTCGGTGAGTATGATCAATGTTGCGGGGCCGGGAGAGAGCACGAGGGTGCTGAGGCCTACAAGACTCTGGTGCGCGAGTAGGGGGCGAAAGTCAAAAGAGGAGGATGGGATATGTCGGCAAAGCCAACAACAGTACTTGCATTTCTCGATTAGGATGATGTGCTATAGTTTGGTGTTTGTGTGTATGAGAGATGCGAGTAATTGGGACCAGGTGTTGGCTGGGATGTAATGTCCTGCATTGAACTGGATTGTTTTGATGTTGAGGGATACGAAGTTGGAGGAATCGAATTTGAGGATTCGGAAGGTGCACAGGAAAGATATGAAAAGGTCCAAAGTGTCATCGGATGAGATATGCAAGTGGGTGAGTGCGGCAAAGGGCTGGGGGATGTCAAGAGGTGCGGTAGGGATACCTTTGAGACCTAGCTTTAAGGTGAGGGATCGGAGAGATGGCCAGGGTGCAATGACGTTGAGCACGGTGCTCGAGACATCACGCCAGTGGCATGTCAAAGAAAGCTCTGTGAGACCGTCGGGATAGCTCATGAGGAGGGACTCAATTTCTGAGGAATTTTTGTCGGTCACGTAGATGCCGCCACCCTTGATCTCAAGAGCTTTGAGATGGGGGGCAGAGGTAGGTAGTGCAGTGATGATGGCTTTGCGAAATGTTAATGAAGAATCGTCCGATGAGAGGTCGAGGGAGAGGATCTCAACTGTAGGTAAGAGGAGTTTGAGAACTGGGATGTACTTGAGAGAACAATGGTTCCGTGCGAGGGATCGTAGGTTTGGAAAAAGGGGTAATTTTTTTTGACACATGCAAGGAGGGAAGGGTATGCAGTTTTGTCTTGCCATGGTTGGGAGAGAATCCGTATGCGGGAGGCGACAACCAATGGATGGAATGTATCAATATGGGGCACGGAACGTCTGTATGAGAGAATAAGAGGCCAGAAGCCTCTCAGATTAGAATAAAGAATATCGAGTGCTGAATCTCGAAATGCACGACAGGTGAGTGCAAGTCGGAAGATGGAACGTCGATCTTGAGTTTCCGGTGATGGTATGAGATCAGGCAATAAATGTGAGCAGAAACGTCGTCGTCTATCATTGAACACAAAATAAAAAATCACTTCCAGGATCTCACTTAAAGACACTGGTGCATGTCGAGAGTGAAGCAGGTGTCCTCGATTTAGATTAGCATCAAAGTAACTTTGTGCAAAGTGCAGGGAAGTGTCCGAATAAGGAAACTCCTGGAAGCCTTTGCACAACAGACCAAAACAACGTTCACCTTCCCTTCTGACGTACTAACTAGTAACTGAGGGCTATGGCCAATATGGCGAATTCTAATATCAATACAACTCTTGCGTGAGGCGTGCAGCTCTATACCTCGTGCAAAATTTATCATAACCCTGGATTATTGATATGGCTATCTCAAACCGATATGTAATCTATCTTGTTTTTCCTCACAGTATAACTGTTGACGGATGCTTCAGCACAGAGAATGCTACCCTCATCTTGCATCATAATCGGGTGTCTATATACTGGACAACTTTAAGCTATACAATTGCCCGCTCGTGCTCGAGTTTGCTGGCTGCTGTCTTAAGCAGGTACCACTGCCAAAGTTCATGATGGTGGTCGAGTGTGCCATGACACTACTCCTCGAGAATGCCGTTGTTCACATCCTGGGAACCTTATCGGAGTTGTACTGCTT